CATTGCACTCCAGCCTGGGTAATAAGAGCAAAACTCTGTCTCAAAAAAAAAAAAAGAAATGTTGCAAAGTAGTCTTATAGTTTGTATGGCTTTTATAGTTTATTTTAAAATTGTGTGTGTGTGTGTGTGTGTGTACACATACGCAATTTGGAACTATCTCAGATTTACAGAAATGCTACTGCAAGACAAATAACCTTCTTCTCTGAACCATTTGAAAGTGTTGATATCGATTCCAAATGCTTTGATGTGTATTTCCTTCAAACAAGTATATTCTCCTGCATAACCACAACTGCAACATCTAAATCAGAACATTAGTATTGATACATGACCACCATTTAATCCTCAGACCTCATTCAAGTTTTGCAATCCCCCCGACAATGTCCTATAACACTGGAGGATTTGTTTCTGAGTCACGTATAGCATTGAGTTGTCACATGGCTAAAGGCTTGACTGTGTCCTCAGGTGCCCTTCGACCTTCATGACTCCAAGTCAACAAAGTTCTTTGGAAGGACTAACAAGACTCCACAAAATACACTTAGATAAGGCCCTCATAAGACAAAGGACGAAATACAGCAGGAGGAAGAAAATACAGGGAAGCACTGGGAGGCCTGGGGCACCCAGGGGCACCTCCCAGAGTCCTCGTTTAGGCCCAGGATGCATTTTGTTTCTGTATCACAAGCCATCAAGGTGAACATGAAGTATCTCAATCTCAGAGAAGCTGAGGGCATTTTTTCTATCCCATTGGACACAGCCAAAACCAGGCTATGTCACCAGGTAAAACAGGTGCAGATCATAAATCCATACATTTTCAGTAAACAATGCAGACTAGTTGATAGAGGGGAACTCCAGGGGAAAGTTGGGCTTTAACAGCACGTAAACTGCTAGCCAGCACAGCTCATCCTTGTCTTAGCCAGCACTCAGTGTCACCGCCCCAGGCGTCTTTGGAAATGAGCACGAAGCTAACACAGACCAACAGTGATCTCGACAGCCTTGAAGATTGCAGACTAGTTCTTGATACGTTTCCCCTTGGTTTGGGTTTGCTGATTATATCGGTTATAGCTTATGGATCTCTGGCAGGAGCATCCCAGAAACGATGCTGTGTCCTTCTCATTTTATCCTAGCAGATGATACACAATTTGGATTTTTTTTAATGGAGTCTTGCTCTTGTCGCCCAGGCTAGAGTGCAGTGGCATGATCTCAGCTCACTGCAACCTCCATCTCCCGGGTTCAAGCAATCCTCGTGCCTCAGCCTCTCATGTAGCTGGGACTACAATCGCCTGTCACCACGCCTGGCTAATTTTTGTATTTTTAGTAGAGGCAGGGTTTCACCGTATTGGCCAGGCTGGTCTCGAGCTCCTGACGTCAGGTGATCTGCCTGCCTTAACCTCCCAAAGTGCTGGGATTATAGGCATGAGCCACTGTACCCAGCTCACAATTTGGATTTGTTCCATAATTGGGGATGCCTCCTTTATTCCCTGGATTCAGATGGTATCTGCCAGACTTATCCACAGTAAAGTTAATCTTTTCCTCTTTGTAATTATTAAGTATTTTGTGGGAGTGTTCTTTGTTTTTTCTTTTTGGGATGGGGTCTTGCTCTGTCCCCCAGGCTGCAGTGCAGTGGCACGATCATAGCCCGCTGCAGCCTTGAACTCCTGAGTTCAGGAGATCCTCCCCCTTCAGCCTCCTCAGTAGCTGGGACCGCCAGCTCCTACCATTACACCTGACTGATTTTTTTAGTTTTTTGTAGAGATGGGGGTCTTGGTTTATTTCCCAGGCTGGTCTTGAACTCTTGGCCTCAAGGAATCTCCAATTTCAGCCTTCCAAAGTGCCAGGGCTATAGGCGTGAGCCCATGCCTGGCCTTGGGGATGTACTTTGAAACCATGTACATATTCCATTTCTCATCAAACCTTCAATTTCTTATTTCTTTATATCATTATTGATTTTTTTTTTTTTTTTTTTTTT